ATAAGCTCTTATCTCTTTTAAGGAATTCATCCAATTCCTCATCAAATTCCCTCCACAAGTAGTATAAGCTCTTATCTCTTTTAAGGAATTCATCAAATTCCCTTTACAATAAGTCCTCTCTCTATGTGCTTGTGGGACATTACTTAGCCATAATGATATAATAATCCTTTTATAAGTATCTTTTCTTTTTCTCTCGTACCTACCTTATACATAACATGTTAAATTAATTCATACTTAAAAAAATAATTTCTCCCTTTTGGAGATGCGGGGTATCGATCCTCGTACCTCTCGCATGCTAAGCGAGCACTCTACCATCTAAGCTACATCCCCACAATTTTTGCATCACAAAACCCTAAATTTTCCGTCATCAATAATAGTGAAAATGAAGAAATATTGCTACCCAACATGTCATGAATAGGGAAAAATTGAAAAGAAATAATATATTTAATAATAGATAGTCTTATTTTTGGAGATGTGGGGTATCAATCCCCATACCTCTCGCATGCAAAGCGAGTGCTCTACCATCTGAGCTACATCCCCATGATTTTTACATCATAAAACCCTAAATGTCCCATCATCAATAATAGTGAAAATAAAAAAATATCAAAATATTAATAACAAATAGTTTGGTTTGGTGATGCGGGGCATCGATAATTGTGAAAATGAAAAAATATAATAACAAATTAAATACTTTCTTTTGGAGAGGCAAGTTATAAATCCCCGTACAACTCGCATGCAAAGCGAGCGCTCTACCATCTAAGCTATATCTCTACAATTTTTACGTCACGAAACCCTAAGCGTCTCGTCATGAATAATAGTGAAAATGAAAAAATATCGCTACTCATTATGTCATAAATAAGGAAATATTGAATTGAAATAAAATAGTAATAACGAATAGTTTCTTTTGGAGATGCAAGGTATCGATCCCCGTATCTCTCCCATGCTACATTCCCACCATTTTACATAAAAAAACTCTAAACTTCCCATCATCAATGATATGAAAATGAAAAACTATCCCAGCTCATTATGTCGTAAATAAGGAAAAATTTAAAAGAACTAATATACTTAGTAATTGTTTCCTTTGTTGATGCATGATATCGATCCCAGTACTTCTCACATGGGATGCAAACGCTCAACCATCTAAGCTATATCCTCAAAATTCTTACATCACAAAATCCTAAACATCTCGTCATCAACAATAGTGAAAATAAAAAAGTAACGCTATTCATTATGTAATAATATGGAAAAATTGAATAGAAATAAAATAGTAATAACGAATAGTTTCTTTTGGAGGTATGGGGTATTGATCCGATCCTCGTACCTCTCGCATGCTAAGCAACCAATCTACCATCTAAGCTACATTCCCACAATACTTATATCAGAAAACCCTAAATGTCCCGTCATCAAGTGAAAATGAAAAAATATCTACGCTAATTATGTCATAAATAAGGAAAGGTCTAGAAGTAAAATATTAATAACAAATAGTTTCTTTTGGAGATGCGGGATATCCCCTTAACTCTCGCATGCTAAATGAGCTCTACCATCTAAACTACATCCCCACAATCCTTGCATCATAAAACCCTAAATTTCCCATCATAAGCTACATGACCACAATTCTTGCATCATAAAACCCTAAATTTCCAATCATAAGCTACATCCCGACAATTGTTGCATCATAAAACCCTCAAATTCCCATCATAAGCTACATCCCGACAATTGTTGCATCATAAAACCCTCAAATTCCCATCATAAGCTACATCCCCACAATTGTGTATCGATCCCCATACCTCTCGCATGCAAAGCGAGTGCTCTACCATCTAAGCTATATCTCAAAAATTCTTATGTCACAAAGTCCTAAACATCTCGTCATCAGTAATAGTGAAAATGAAAAACTATCCCAGCTCAATATGTCCTAAATAAGAAAAAATTGAAAAAAAAAATATTTAGTAATCGATTCAATCAGAGATGCAAGGTATTGATCCCCGTACTTTCCACATGGGAAATGAACGCTCTACCATTTGAACTACATCCTTACAATTCTTACATCAAAAAACCATAAACGTCCCTTCATGAATAATTGTGAAAATGAAAAAGTATCTCTGCATATTATGGAATAGAAATAAAATATTAATAATAAATAGTTTCTTTTGGAGATGCGAGGTATTGATCCTCGTACTTCTCATATGCTAAGCCGTACCTCTCGCATGCTAAGCGAAGCTACATCCCCACAATTCTTGCATCACAAAACCCTAAATTTTCCATCATCAATAATAGTGAAAATGAAGAAATATGGCTACTCAACCTGTCATGAAAATGAAGAAATATGGCTACTCAACCTGTCATGAATAAGGAAAAATTGAAAAGAAATAATTTTCAATAATATATTTAATAACATAGTTTTATTTTGGAGATGCGTGGTATCTATCCCTGTACCTCTCGCATGCAAAGCAAGCGGTCTACCATTTGAGCTACATCCCCACGATTCTTATGTTACAAAATCCTAAACGTCTCGTCATCAATAATAGTGACATGAAAAACTATCCCCACTCATTATGTCGTAAATAAGAAAAAATTGAAAAGAAATAATATATTTAGTGATCAATTCATTTGGAGATGCAAGGTATCAACCCCGTACTTTCCACATCAGAAGTGAGCGCTCTACTATCTGAATTACATCCCCACGATTCTTACATCAGAAAACCCTAAACCTTCCATCATCAATAATTGTAAAAATGAAAAAAATATCTACGCTCATTATTTCATAAATAAGGAAAGATGGAATAATATATTTAGTGATAATGAAAAAATATCTCCGTTCATTATTTCATAAGTTTAGTGATCGATTCATTTGGAGATGCAAGGTATCCGATCT